AATTAAATTTTGTGTTAGCTTTCCAAAACTTTGGGAATTTTACCAACCAACTGCCGTCCTTATTTGAATATCCGAATAAATTTAGAATGCTGCTTAATTTTGGTCCAATTGATTCAGTCACACAAGTACTCTGCTTCAAAAGTAGAAATTGTGGAAAGCTTATATCATGTTCACAGTTTTCTTTTAAATTTTTCAGCACTTTTAGTTTTTTTACGATTAGATACCTTATCAGAAAATAATGAAAGTGAGGACATTTCTTCAGTTAAATACCCAAGATGCCAATTAAATGTTTCCAAGGCAGCAAAAGCAACATGATTTTCAATTTTTTTATAAATAAGTATTTCTTTGTAGAATTCCAAACCATTAAATGGGCCATATTTTTACATAAAATAGTAAAGTAAATTTACAAAACCGTGATGATTTCTCTATAAAACTTTCTTCATACTCTGCCAGGTCAGCAAAAGCAAACATTTTTGATGTGTACATGATTGTACACATCTATCTAGAATGATGGAAGGCTCCAGGTTTGTAACAATGTATATTTATTTGTCTGGACTGAGTAATTACAAAGTAAGTTGACAACATTCTCGATAATCATCTCTTAATATTTGTCGAGATTTCCGGTAAAGTAACCCAGACAAAAAAATTATTACTTCTGTTTTTTTGGTCATTAATACTGGTCATTAGATTTTTATTTTTCTAAAACTAGTACCTAAAGTTAATAAAAACTAAGGCCATACTGCATTTTTAAAGTGTCTAAATGGCTCATAATTTGGAGATCTACATTCTGCAAAAACTTTTAAGTAAACAGAAGGCAAAATTCTTTCAAAAATATAGTGTCGGCTGGCACACCAAAGTCACTTTTTGTTAAAGTGTTCTTCAATTAACTTTGAAGAAAAAAACAGAACCGTTTATCAAACCTGAATTTGATGAAGGTGTGTCAAAAATGATTGCTGCAAGTGTTTTTTCTAGTTTCAATGCCTTTACAGCATTTATGTTAGCTGTTGCCTGACTTCGCCCAGCAGTATCAGCGGTAGCTGAATACACACAATAATTTTCATTCCGGTACACTTGGTTTTCCTGTTACAACAATAGCCAAACGTTCCACTATACCATAGACCTCAAATACCAGCTTTGAATCCCAGTGAATGGAAGAATACACGGGTGAAATGAATGTTTTCTTTAGATTATCTGAAACTTGCTGTCGAATTTTATTACCTGATCTGTTCGCAGTGCTTTTTGAGATATTTCATCTAAATTGTGGCCTAATGCTTCAGCTACAGCTAAAATGATTCCAGATCTTTCTCTGTTGGGTAGATTCAACCTATGAGCCATTAAGGAAACTTAAGGGTTTTCTAATATCCTGATTTTTTTTCTGTCTAGCTATAGTACTTTCTTCATTTTTAATACGAGTTTTGTCTTCATTATCAAATGCTGCCAATACATTGAAACTCTTTTCTTTTACGTTTTCCTTTATAGATTTCTCTTTTTCAATAGCCTTGATTTTATGTTTCTCTTTTTTCTCCTTTCTTTTCATTTTCACAGCATAAATATTGACTAATGGGCCAAAAAATTGCTTTTTTAAGTGACGCTGATCTGAGAGAAAGTCTATATCTGAGATCTGACTATTGATACTACGCAAGGTATCTTTTCTTATCAAATTTTCTGCATTTGATGCTGCAATATCAAACAACAATGATAGTTTATAAGTAAAACTCAGAAGTTGAGCTGCACAACATTTTTTGCATTTTTAATTAAGTTCTTTCTAAAATGAATCAGATGCAGTATCATTCTAACAATATCTTTCTTCTGTTTTTTTGGAATTCTTGCCACTTTCCAAAAAACTTCAACTTTTTCCCAAAATACAGATGCAACTTTTTTTTTACCATTTAATTTCAAGTCAAATCTTGTGAGATAAAAACAATAGCGTAAAACATCTCCACTTGTTGGTTGTTGACTATACATCTTTGCTTCAAGGGTAGGTAACAATTTACCAACAAAAAATTTTTCATGATTTTCAATTTAATACTGTTTATAACTGATCAAATATTTTTTATATATGCTATGATATCTATAGATAAAAAGTAACTATAAATTATAAAATTATTTAAATAATGTATGTAATATTAATATTCATCATAAAACGTTTTCTTATTTTAAACATTACGAGTGATATTATTTAATAGTTTTGAGAATCATTGAATTAAAGCAAATTATATTTTCTAAAATTAGCTATGACACATAGTTTAGAATTATAATAGTGATCAACATTGATACAAAACATATTCAATTGCAATAATAAATTTATATATTTAGCCTAAAATCAGTTTAAAAGTTGACAACTTTAAAAAAGTGGGCGGCAGAGGGTGTACAAACTTTTAAAGTAGGGCATGGGGGGAGGGGGGAGAAACTTTGAAAAATTTTCCAAAGTTTTCTTATTTTCACTTTTAACGGACAAAACTATACACAAAACACGAGGAAACTTTTTTTTTTTTATATTTATATTATATTATATATATATTTATTTTTATATATATATTTTTTATTTATTGTATGAATTATCATGATTAAAGTGTTTTTATGTTTTTTAATGTAGCAAAATAACAATCCATTATCAATTGTTGATTTCAATCAAAGACTTTTTTATTTATCCAGTGAGAATTAGTTGGTATTTGGTAATAGTATAATAAAACACTTTAATAAAAACATTAATTAAAAAACAAACCATTTTATTAACGTAAACTGTTAACACGTTTTCACAAACTTGTATTACGGCTACGCCAAAAAAAAAAGTTTGTTTATTTTTTACTTTACAGTACACTATACGGTAAACTGTATATTAAATTTCTAATATAACGTATACTAGCGGTCCCTAGTTGTAGCAACTAATTTCATCACTTATTTAATACTAACTTTTCAAATTCCAAACATATATATCATAGCTTTAATACAGACTGCAACTTTCATTGCTGATTGTACTCCTGCACCCTAATGCAATAACGATATGAAAAAATTTGTAATTGAGTTTTTTCTTCTTACCTTTGTGGTCTTCTCCTGGTAATGTATATTCACGAAAGTTTAAACGAGGGTGTAATCAAGTAGGTTTAGTTTTTTCTTAATAAAAAAAAAGTAAAAATGATGCCAAATTTTTTTTATTTATTAAAGAAAAAGTAATTAGCTTTAGAATAAATGTGAACTTGTTATGAAATTGCTTATATTAATCAAAAAAAAGTTAATTATAAAAATACACATGTGAAAAATGAGTAACACAAAAGTTAAAACGAATTTTTAAAAACAAACAAAAAATGGAAAAAAGAAAAGCAAAAGTAATACCTAAAATGTCCACCTTTATTTTTATAGCAAAGATAAACTAGTTCCTGTATCAATTCAACTAATTTTATGCACATCTTACGAGATACCTTACAGTACTCATTTAAAAGTTGCTTTATGTGCTCAGTTGGTTGTTATTGGTGATAAGTAAATTGATTGTCGATCCAAGACCAGTTTCTTTTAATTGGGTTGAGATCTGGTAATCTAGGGCACCAAGGGATCACATTAATCTTTTTCTGCAAAATTCTTCGATTGATTTAGCTGTATAAGCTGGAACCCTGTCTTGTTGAAAGATGAATTGCTTGCTTCTACCATACAACTGTATGATTGATAAAATTAAACACGTTTCTAACGCATTTTTGTAGGTGTACAGATTTATTCAGCTTTTGTACAGCTCACACATATCAATACCTATGCGAGAAAAACATCTCTAAATACCAACAGCACCTCCACCGCCTTATAGTGGTTGAAAAAACCGTTCTGAATATTTCTCCGTTGCAAATCTTTTGAAATATATTCTTCCCTTTTTTCAACTTAAAAACTAGCTTCATCACTTCTAATGACTTTTAACCAGTTTTCAACAGTTCAGCTCAATCTTTTTTTCTGACCATATTTGCCGTTTACGTCGGTTTATGATTGATAAAATAGGTTTTCTTGCTGCAATGTACGTTCCAATACCTTTTTGCAGCCATGTTCGCCTAACGAGCTCTCTGTTTATATTATGATTACTTTTTGACTCGTTGAAGATTTGTGCTAGCTTTTTGTAGCTGTGCCTTGGATCCTCTCTGCAGATTCTAAATATATTACTTTTGTCCCAGTCATTGAGCTTCAATGGTCTCCCAGAACGCGACATATTAACAACGTCCTTGGTAAACTCCCAGATTTTGACTGTTTTTTGTATGCAAGATTCAGAAACCCCAAGTATTTTGTCTATTTGAGCGTTGCTGTGATTTTTTGATATAGACAAACCAATAATTTGCAATTTAATCTCACTTGAAACTGATTTTTGCCCCATTTGCACGCAATATGAAATTGTTTGAAATTTGCAATGATTTCAGTTGATTTTTGTTGAATATGAAGCTGTTGGATAATGTTGTGACGTTTTTTTTGACTGAAAACCACTTAATCTACTTAAGATTATATTTTAAAACCGGATTAATTAATTAATTAACAAATAATTGAATTTGAATACACTCGTTTAAACTTTCGTGCTACACATTTTTCACATGTGTATTTTTATAATTAACTTTTTTTAAACTATTATAAAAAATTTCATAACAAGTTCACATTTATTATAACCCTAAATACTTTTTCTTTATTAAATAAAAAAAAATTCGACATCATTTTTACTCTTTTTTTCTATTAAGAAAAAACTAAACCTACTTGATCAAAATTACACGCTCGTTTAAACTTTCGTGAATAGCTATATTTAATTTTATTCAATGCGGATAACTGCATATCCTGACAACAACATTTGGATGTAATTTAAATCGTTCCTATTTTCACAGCTAAAGATTTTAAAACATGCAAGCCAAATACAGTTACAGCCTGCTCCACTAATGTGACTTGATAAATAGTGTATTTATTTTATTTTTATTAAAACAATTATGTCGCCAGTTTTTGCTAATGAAAAAATAACTGTTTTAACAGGTTCTACATAAATGTAGCTTAGTATTTTACAAAGATAGCTTTACATTACTGTTTCGTCATTTTAAGAAAATAATTATAAACAACCATCATACTATAAAATATAAAACAGGAGTGTTTTACAATGACTCTGAGTTTGTTTACACATTCCTAATAATTTTGGTTATTATTGTTTAATTGATTTGTAAAATCTTTATTAAACTGTATTTTGGACAGTCGTTAAACTTTTAAATTATAAAGTTTTTTTAAAACAAATAGCATAAAAGCAACTAAAATTATTATTGAAAAAAAATGTTTAAACGCGCTAACTTCTTTTATTAACTAATTTATTGACATTTCTCAACGCATTTGTTGTTTTCTTTACTAGAACAATCTAATTCACTCCTCCAATTAGTATACAAATTGTCTAAATAACTGCTTGTATCACGCGGTACAAAAGTCATCACATTATCAAAACTTACATATCGTTCAGGAAATAAATTTTCTAAAGGTTGTTTTTTCCAACCATAATGTGGAATTGAAACCTCGGCAATGTTTCCACGTTTAATTATTTCAAAGGGCCATGCTTCAATTGTGTTGGAATTAATTGGGCTATAACTTATACGAAACTTTATTCCATCATCAGCAAAAGATGTTTTGTATCCATATTTTGTTTCCAATTTGTTTATAACATTGTAAAACAATGGAGTTTTCCAAAATTCTTTATCAAGTATTAAATCAATGTCAGTGTCGTATGGAACCATTTTTCCGTTTCGAGCCCATCCAATAACGGATCCAAATGCTAACATATGCGATACATGCAACGCTTGAAGCTCTTCTGTGAAATGGGTTAACATCTCTAACAGCTTTTCTCTGCAGCAAGGAGGCGTGTTTATTCTTTTTTTTAATCTATAATTAAAATAGGCCTTTTCTTTGCATTGAGCTGTACTTTTTGTGCAACCGCGGTTTTTAACAGATTTGTCACTGTATACAATTCGTTTAACACTGTTACCTAAAAACACAAACATGTATGCATATATTGGTCATTTGATATATGTATAAATAAATAAATAAATAAATAAATATATATATATACATATATATATATATATATATATATATATATATATATATATATATATATATATATATATATATATATATATATATATATATATATATATATATATATATATATATATACATATATATATATATATATATATATATATATACATTTACATATATATATATATATATATATATATATATATATATATATATATATATATATATATATATATATATATATATATATATGGTCTAAGCAGCACTAATATAGTAACAATTTTCAAATAAATGACAATTTTTATAAAACTTTTTGACAACATGTTTCATTAATATCAATTGAAATCATCATGTATAAAAATTAGTAACAATTTCTGTATATATACAATCTTTTGGCTACATTAAAAATTTAATAGTTGATTTTACAATAGTTACCAAAGTTACATAAAATAAATAATAACCATGAAATATTATATAAGATTTTATAAAAGGTGTGAAATGAATAATAGCAAACAAAATGGGAAATAAATAGTAAGAAAATTGCGAAACTATGTTGTTATAGTAATAGAGTATGATTTTAATTGCGTATTAAGAAGACGTTTTCCCAACTAAATATGAACGCCTTTCTTAGTTTTGATTTCATATTTGGAGGAAGCTTTGTTAATAATGGAAAAGCTATCAGGATTTGTTGAGTTTTTGCATTTTTGTGATGAAATGTGATGTTTGTAAAAATAGGAAACCTTATCTGAATTTAAGTGTTCTGAAACCCTTGTTGTGTAGTATCTGGTGGGTTCACCGATGTATCCAGCGTTACAGCTGGAACAAACAAATTTATAGACAATAAAGATTTTAAACTTGAGGGTAAGCGATCTTTTGATGAAAACATACTACTTATTTTAAAAGGAGTAAAAACTAACTTTGCTTTTATATTATCTTTACAATATTTTTTAGTATATTTATTTATTTGGTGTTAAAGTGTATTTGAAATTTTTACAATGTGAGGGAGTTTAAAGTAATGTATATCAGATGGTTTCAAAGATGATATATTTTTTTTAGGAGAGATAAGGTTGTTTAGTAAAAATTTTAAGATTTTGTCAATAGAGTTCAAGGGGAAAGAGTTTTTTTGGAGAGTTTGTTTAATTTTTACAATATCTAGATGAAAACTTATCCCGTTTATGTTGATTTTGAAGACCCTGTTAATCAGAGTTTTAATGAGTTTATAAATAATAATAGGGAAGCTGGTAAAGTTAGTCAGTAAACCAGTGTAAATTTTTTTATAAAACGTTGAAGTATCAAATTTACGATTTACAGAGTTAATCATTATATCAAGAAAGTTTAATTTGTGATCAACTTCTTCCTCTTTAGTAAATTTTAGATTGTTTATTTATATAGTCTAGAAAAGTGAGTGCATCATTGTTATTTTCAAAGATACAATAGATATCATCCACATACCTTATGTATAAAACTACTTTTCTGCAACTATTGTTTGTTACTAAATGTTTTTGTAAAAAAAAAAAAAAGTATATATATATATATATAATATATATATACATAAAATAACATAAACAATAAAAGAATACAAATCTGACGATATAGGAGTCATGCACGATTGATTTTGATTGATGGAGTAAGATGATAGTTTGCCTATTGATAGAGTCACCATGGTATTATTTGTAAAAAAAGAGGCCAAGAAAAGCCAGAAATTAATTTATGTTAAACGATAATAAAAAATTCAATATTAAATTTAATTATTAAATATTAAAAAAAAAACAAATGTTGAAACAAAATAGACATTCCACATTTTGTGCGTTTAAGATATAACACTTATAGATTTGCCTATATTCAGTAAAGTAAGCTTGTTTTGCGGTATTTGATTTTAATGCGTTAGTTTGACAACGTTAATGTCATTAAAATATACATATAAATAAATATATATAAATATACAAATATATATATATATATATAAATATACATATATATATATATATATATATATATATATATATATATATATATATATATATATATATATATATATATATTTACTTAAAAGTTTACTTAAAATGTCAAATGTGTACTTAAATGGTGTTTAAAATTTTTATTTTATTACTATTTGTAAATATCCAAAAAAATTATCTTTTGAATAAATTGCGATTGAATAATTATCTACACATTTCATAATGCTTTTGTACCTATTTAAAAGAAACGTGAATATATTTTTGTTAAAATTATATTAAAATAAGTTAAATACAAAAGGTTATGGTGTTATATATTTCCAGCTAGAAAATAATATAAACTGATATTGTCTTAGTATACTTATTTTCATTTAGTTTTATTTTTCTTTTCCATTTTATTATTTCTAAAACGGAAACAAATAAAAAATAATTCTCTAATGTTACTTTAACAGAAAAGTTAATTCTGCAAAACATGTCAAAATCCAATCTAAACTAATCCTAAAAAAAACAATGCTTTTATAGAGTTGCCTTTTAAACCTTGTGCAGATTCTAAGTTTATTGAGTGCACAGTGGGCCAGTAGGTGGACAAAATGACATACATTAGGAGAAGTTTATTAATAATTTATTTATATTAAATCCCATATTTACCAGAACTCTGAGCATTTGAATATTATATAAAAATTATAAATAAAAATTATATAAAAATTATAAATAAGTAATTTCGGTGATATCGACGTTTTAGGATATATCAACTACATCTACGTTTTTAAAGCAAAAAAATTAGTACATGTTATTTTAGAGTATTTAGATATAAGAAAAACCATTGTATCAACTAAATTTGTAATAGCATGTTATCTCACTTATACTTTGAATACCGCAGCTTAGAAACAAAATCTTTGAAAAATTTATTTTTTGCCGCAGTATAACTAATAATTGCCACAATATGTCATGTGCTGTCTTATATTTATTTGAGCTATATGATGCTTCAATCAAGTTTTGATTGACTGATTGTGTCCTTAAATTCCCGTTCAAGTTTTATTTTTGTTTTAACTTGGTTGCTATGGTACTTAGCTTTGCATAGCAACTTCCTTGTTTTACATTAACGTTGTTTTAACAGTATGTTATTTGCGCCAAGTACACAATATTGGGAGTATGTACTAAAATTAGATTCTTAATTCTAATAAAGTTAGTTTTTTATGGTTGCTATGGATACCTTACTTTGCATAGCATAGCAACAACATATTTTTGGTAGTAGTTTGTAACTTAATTACTAGCACTAACAGTAATTTAATTCCTTTTAATATTAACTACTATTACCCAACCACTTGTAATAACTTATTTACTAACAAGAATTAGTAGTCCACCTGCCTATATATTGTTATACTAAACTTTTAAATACAACGTGTTTGTTTTAAGAATTATTTAGATATGATATTATTAAACATAGACATTCACAATTTTCTCCAAAAGATCAATCATGGTATTTCAAAATAAAATATTACTAAAGATATATGAAAATTTATTTAGCCGAAAACTGCTAAATTTAAAGACTTTGATTTTAGGCATGTTATTCAACGGTTTGTTTATTTGTATAAAAAAAAGTGAAAATCTGAAAATTTTATTGTCAAAAAATTTGAAAATAAGTTTGTGTATTGGCTTAACGAATATTTAATTAGTAAGAAATTGAATCAATTGCAAGTAGTTGTGGTCAAAAACAAGTTACATGAGGCACTTGATATTGAACAACAAAGCAATAAAAACACTCACGTTGAAGGATGGTTTTGATGGTGCTACTGACTAAAGCATTTATAAACAATTTTTATTGAACTCGGACATGATCAGAGTTTTAAAGCGTTAAAAACTATTATTTATTACTTGTCTAGGCCCATTGGATTTGACTGGATTTAAGAACAGCAACAAAAAGTACCTATTTAGAGAACTCAAAAGTCGTTATCCATCTACAGCTTTTTGTAAACCCATAAAGTTTGCATACAAAATAGATTCCAAGGAATCTGTGACTGAAGAAAATCAGTACATTAAAAGTGAGATAGAAAGCTTGGTTATGATTTTATTACAGGTTTGCAGATCTTCTATTTAAGTAAATTGTATTATTGAACAACAATAATTGATGAGAAGGTTCAAACAATATTATCTGAAAAAATCTAAAGAACACAAAGTAAAGGCATCTTTTGCTAAACCAAAAACTTTAGACTGGTTTTAGGAACAAAATGGGACTTGTTGTTTAACTCCCCAAAAACTAGCGGTTCTTAAACAAGAAAAGATGGCAATACTTCAAAGTGTGTTTTGCAGCATATGAACAAACAACTGAAATTTTGGGTATTAATCAAAACCTTACATTCAAATTTTACATTATTTTAGTAACACTATATTCAGGATATGAAACAAACTTCTTATATTTTAAGGATTATTGTTTTATCACTGTTAGACTATATATGTCCTTTTATCCATTGTATTGCATGGCTTAATCTGTGCAAAAAAGACAAATGCATGGACATGGCATAACTAAAAGTCTTACATTACCAATCGGACTTATGTCAGGGAAAACTCAAGAGGCTAAAATAAAGACTTCAGATATTATTGCAAAATTTTCAGCTAAAAAACATCCAGAAGAGCAAACATACTGATCTGACCAACAGACTCCGAGTTTCCAGTGGTCCTGTTATTTCATCTCTGGGTAAATTTACATCACCTTTAACAAATCATAAAAAATATTTTTCTTTTAATTCTCTTAATTTCATCACTGCGTAAATTAACATTACCTTTAACAATCATAAAAAACATTTATCTTCAGATGTTCTATAATTACTTAAATAACCTTCAAACGATATTGCTGTTTTAGAAATTTGTGATGTAATTTAAAATTGACAATATTTTCTTCCGTTACTTTTTATTTTCCATATTACTAAAACATTATTTACTTATTACTTAACTTTTTTTCTATATAGATGGGTCAAAAATCAGATTAAAG